CGGAATGTGGTTCTGCTGCAATCCCAGCTCCTCCATTTCTTCATCCTTTTGCGATTTAGGGCAATGCACACATATATGCCCAAGCTGCCAGGTCTGAGATTCAAACCACACAGTTGGCCATGTGGAATCTGCATCTGCCAACCATCAGGGGACAGGCTGGCCCCAGTATAGTATTATAGATAATAGCAAACACATAAATAAAAACAAGAGAAAAATGGAAATAACATCTTCTTTCTTTTTTCCTGAAAATTTATACTATCAAGGGATCAAGCTTAACACGGGGGGGGGGGGATAAATATTTGAAAGACAGACATGACTCACCCTACTGGTCATCCATTCTATTATGGGAGAAGGACAGTAAAATAATTACACTGGGACCAGCAGTTAGCGTAATGGCTATGTCGCTGGACTCCCATGTAGTCGACCACGGTTCGAGTCCTGGACCTGGTGGCTTAAACTCACGCCGGGCACATGTGCGTGCATGTCCAAAATCCTGAGAGGAGAACGGAGGAGAAGGGATTGCGACGTGGCTATCCCCCCTGGGGGGTGATTTCTCGCTTTCTGTCTCTCTGTCTCTCTCTGTCTGGCGAGCGCACGCATCCTATAGCAAAAAAAAAAAAAAAAAAAAAAAACCTCCCCCCCCAAAAATAATTTCACTGTACATTTTGCTCTAGCAATTATGATAATATTCTATCCTAAATAACAAAAGGAAAGTGAAATAATATTTTAATAATAAATGTTAATACAAGAATAGCATGTACAACAAAACCAAGAAACAATCGTGTAAAGTGTATGATTTCATCAATATTATAGTAATACGAGCAAGTCTCAATGGCTATAAAATCCATTGAGAAGAATAAATTATTGAAAATGGCCAAGACAAATAATGAGTGAACACATGGAAGGGGTTATGGAGTAGTGTAGCACAATAAAGACTGCTGGCAACAATTTAATGCATATTTTCAAATAACCAGTAGAGTGAATTTCCAATGTGCACAACACAGAGCAATTACAAACGCTAGAGATGGTAAAATGCTTCCTCTCTTGGTGGTCTGAATACCTCACGCCATACACATTCTTGAAAAGTCACAGCGTACTTCACAGAGATGTACAACTATTATATGTAAATCAGAAATTACCACACAAATTATTTTTAAAAATATACTGAAGGACTTAAAGTCTCAAATAGGAAGAAATATTTCAAAGGTCAGTAATTAGTTCAATGAGGAATGGGGTGAGTACTCATAAACAGAGGTAAGGAAAAAGTACTCACACAATGGTCAGTTTCTGGCCTAATATTTACAGCACGGTTATTGAGGGTCCAGCCCGTGGCACAGTGGTAACATGACGCTCTGCGAGGTGGTTCAGCACATGAAGGTCTGGGGTTCGTGGACTACCAGTGGCCTGGTGGTTAAAGGAGCCAGATCCCATGTGGCCAACTGTGCAATCTGAATCTCAACCTCAGCAACCTGAAAAACACACCAGGAGTGTGTGTCTGTGTGTGTGTGTGTGTGTGTGTGTGTGTGTGTGTGACTAAAATTCAGACAGTGTGGAGAAGGGTTGTGGTAGGATTGTGGCATGACCATGCCCCACTGGGGGGTGCTTGCCTCCTCTCCCTCTCTGTGGTGGGGGTACATGCCCTGGCTTATATTAAAAACTAACTAAATATATAGAAACAAGGTCTCTAATTAAATTAGAGGGTTTTTTTTTTTCTTTATTCATTAGAGGGTGTGCACACACAAAATATAAAGAGAGAAATGAGCACCCTCCACAGAGTCTGGTCACAGAGTGACCCCTTTCCTCCAAGTCCTCCAGCCTATATTGGTCACTCATGCACATGTCTGGGGTGTTTCAGGCAGAACAGGCCAGGGATTCAAGCTACAGTCACCATAGGAGACCCAGCTTCTCCTGAGCAGTGCGTTACCACTGCGCCATGAAGCCGGCCCAAGGGGGGATTTTAATTTTGTTTTTTCTTTTAATTTTTTTCCTTTTATTTTGGTAAACCATCCCAATTTTCTGTAACAAATACACGTTGCCTTAATAATCAGAATATAATTGTTAAAATATCTGAAATAAATGTACCAAATTAATACAGGATGATGAGACCATAGGGCTAACATTTTTCTCTCTTTTAACAAATCTATTGGGCAAAGTTATTGGGTCATCAAGAAAGTCATGATGCATTTTTGCATAGAAAAACAGAAAAATACATCATGATTTTTCTGACAACCTAATACACTGAGCAAGAGAATAAACTTCTAAAATTTTATTTAATTCTATGATTTTTTTTAGTCTGGTTTACTTTGTTTAACATTAAATCTTTTATATGAGAATAAACTTTAAACATCACCTAATTTCTTTGTTTTAATTGCCAAAGGGTGCACATGCTCTCCAGAGACAGAGAGAGGGAATCCCCGTCACCACCACCACCAAATGGGGCATGGTCCTGTCACAATCCTTTCCTCCATTTCTCCGTCAGGACTTCGGGCATGCACATGCCCAACATCTCTTTCAAGCCACCGGGGCTGGGATTCAAACCACTGTCGGCCATGTGGGATCCAGCTCTCGATGCACTACACTACCAGACTGGCCCTATTCATGTTAAAGTTAAGAAAACAGAGGCCCTCAGAGGAAAGAATCTGCTCAAGGATGCACTGGTTGGTAGCGTCTGACTTCTCTGACAAAGAAAAGAAGCCATTCCACCAACGTGCAGACACACACCAGTAGGTATTCTTTCACCTGGCCATGTCACCTGCCATCAATGGCTGTCGACTTTGCAGAGGCTCATAGGTCTCAGGGTCAGAGCCAGGCACCCCCACAGCTGACCCCACTCAGCTTAGTAAAACCAACTGAAATCAACAGAGCTGCCCGTGGGGCTAAGGTGTCACCCTCCACTGAGCCATGGCAGCACAGGGAGGGGGTATTTTCATCCAGAGGCAGACATACAGCTGCTGATTCTGAGCTAAAAGCTTGGCCCAGAAGCTGTCAAGTTCAGCAGAGGAGAGTTTGATGATCACGTTGGACTTCCACCCGCAACTTGCTCCCCAAATGGAGGAGTCAAAGTTCTACAGAGAGGAGAGAGCACATGGAAGACAAACCACTGCTACACTACAGCTCCCCTGCAAACCACACATGTGGTCCTACAGAAACCACGGTGATCTCCCATCCCTCTGCTCTTCCCATTATAGAACGGGGGTGAATCCACCTGCTGCCTGTCAGGGTGTTGAGGTGCAATAAACACATACAGACAGAAACCACAAATGCCCTCTGCCTTCGCTCAGGACACCAACCCACATGTTCTGGTGATGAGAACAACCACTATCATCCTGGCACGTACACCTGCAGTCTGTTTTTTTTTTTTTTTTAATTTTGCATGTGCCCTTGCCAGAGAGACAGAGAGAGCAAAAAAGAGGGAAAATGAAAAGTCAACCCCTCTGAGGGATAGTTATGCCACAATCCCTTCTCCTCCATTTCTTCTCTCAGGATTCTGGGGTCACACATGCACCTGGCACATTTTTTCAAGCCAGCAGGTCTGGGACTTCAACCAAGCAGTCGGCCACGGTGGGGGGTGGGGGGTCCAGCCACTTTAACCACCATGCTTTGGTCTCCCCGTCTTCAGTATGTTAAAAGTCATAACATTATACTTCTCATTCTACACATGAAAGCACTGAGGCCCAGAGGGAAAAAGGCATCGGCTGTGGCGGAATAGGCAGTAGGGCGCCACTGCGTGAAACTGGAGTCATATGAGAGGCCTCAGGTTCTGATCCCACCTACCTGAACAGGTCGGGTACCTGTGATCCTGGCTAACTGGGAGGTGTGGGGCAACCATGGCATGTCAGCACACTCAAGGGTCCCTTCCACTCTCTCAGAAGAAATAAATGGAATTTTAAAAACGAAATTTAAGGGACCAGCAATTAGCATAATGGCTATGTCACTGAACTCCCATGTAGCCGACCGCGGTTTGAGTCCCAGACCCAGTGGCTTAAACTCATGCCAGGTGTGTGTATGTACATGCCCAAGATCCCGAGAGGAGAATGGAAGAGAAGGGATTGTGGCATGGCCATCCCCAGTGGGGGGTGATTTCTCACTTTCTATCTCTCTCTGTCTTTCTGGTGAGCGCATATGCCCTATAGCAAAAAATAAATAAAAATAAAAATACCTCTCCAAAAAAAAAAAGAAAGTAAAAAAAAACCTCCAAAGTCCTTTTTCCTCAGGACACAGTGAGCAATCCTGTCCCTATTGTCACACAGGACTTCCATCTAGCTTGTGTGGGCCCAGCCTTGCATTGTGCTAGGGAATGTGCCGGTCTTTCTACTACCACCAGGTACAGCTCAAGAAAGGACAGCAGGGAACCAGCAGTTAGCGTAATGGCTATGTCGCTGGACTCCCACGTAGTCGACCGCGGTTCGTGTCCTGGACCCAGTGGCTTAAAACTCACGCCGGGCACGTGTGCGTGCGTGCCCAAGATCCCGAGAGGAGAATGGAGGAGAAGGGATTGCGGCGTGACCATCCCCCCTGGGGGGTGATTTCTCGCTTTCTGTCTCTATGTCTCTCTCTGTCTGTCTGGCGAGCGCACGCGCCCTATAGTGAAAATCTCTCAAAAAAAAAAAAAAAAAAAGAAAGGACAGCAGACATGGTGCACCAAAGGAAAGAAACCGCTCAAGCTATGCCCACAGAAAGCACTGGTCATGGTCCCAGTAAATAGTGATAACGGCTACCAATCACTGAGCCACATGAGGAACGTGACACAGGACACCCAGGTTTGGCCTGCACTGTGACACTACAGCTGATGTTTCCAATTTTCAGATGAAGACACTGAGACTCAAGGAGGTCACATGAGCAGGAAGTGGAACTTTAGCCTGTGCTACTTCACCAGTCGCCTCACCAACTGTGACAATGTAAAGAGCCCCCCCCGGGGGGGTCTTTCACATCTATTCACCATGTTTCTGGGCAGTCGCTCCACCCCTCAGTTCCACCCTGGCCCGGAGTCCCAGCACTACCTTGATTGAGGTAGGTCAGTGTCTCTTCGTGTAGCTTCACAGCTGGGGATGTGGCAGCACACAACACATACTGCAGGGGTGGCAGGCGGGCCTCATTCTCGGGGGACAGCTGGGGCTCCTCCTGCTTGAAGATGGGTAAGGCGAGCACATCACTGCAACACACAGAAGAGGCAGTCAGGAGCGGGGCCTGAGGGAGCCCTTCCACAAGGATAAAGCGAACTTGGAGTGAGGGACGCAGACCACCGGTACCAAGGGTGGTACGACATGGAAGCACATGGCAGATCGCCTGTAGTACCAGTTAAGGAGCTGGAGTCCACTTGGCTGACCATGGTTCAAATCTGGGCCCTGGTAGCTTAAAAAAACACACAGGGCACATGTGCATGCCAAAATCCTGATCAGATGGAGAAATGGAGATGGGCTAGCAGCATGATCACGCTCCACTCGGGGGTGCTTTCTCCCGCTCCCTCCATCTCTCTCTGGCAAGAGTACATGCCCTGTTATCTTATCAAGTCACAGAGATAAAACTGCTAAGTCAGATCTCTGGAAACTGCCCTGACAGAGAGTAGCAGAAATGACAAGACCTTTAGAAGTCATTTGGTTTCCATCTATGAGAGACTACTCATGAAGTCTTGCTTTCAGAGTAAGAATCTGAGCAAGAGTTACTTTTCAATCCATGAGTCTAGTTTTTGTTTGTTGGTTTTATTTAATTTTTGTTTGTTTGTTAATTGCAAGAGGGTACATTCACTCATAAGAGACAGGAAGAAAGAGAGAAAATGCATCCCAATGGTCACACCACAATCTCTTCTCCATTTCTCCATCCTGTTGGAATCTGGAGCACGCAAGCATGTGTGTCCCGCATGTTTTCCCAAGGTGCTCAGGCGAAGATCTGAACCATGACGAGCCATGTAAGATCTGGCTCCCCTTACTGGGTTGGTCCCAACATTTCTAATGAGTCACTTTTTCAGACTAATGCAACTAGGCCTTGGGACTCAGTAAACTATGCAAATGCAGACACTGTTTGCTTCACTCATCCAGGCTGAGACATCCTAGTGTCCCTTCTAAAAAGGACAACTACCTGATAACCCCTGTTTTAAGGGTCATAGTAATCTCTTTGGAATGCAAAACGAGAAGGAAGGACCTTGGTTTCTATTCAGTTTTCTTATCCAAATGGAAAATCTTGGGACACTGAAAGATTCTTCTCTTCTACCTCTAAACAACCCCCCACTACCACCATATCAAAAGAAAGAAAAAAAAAAACAACCTCCCTTCAGTCTGTGACTGAAGAACTTGAGGACGTATTTTGTTAAATGCCCTCCTAAGAGACAAATCCTGGGAAACACCAAAGACCTGAAAGCAGGAAAGAGGAGCTGGTTTTTTTTGTTTTTGTTTTTGTTTGTTTGTTTGTTTTTTTAATTTGCTATAGAGAAAGTGAGAAAGCACCCTCCCTGGGGAGGGGGATGACCACACCTCAATCTTTTCTCCTCTATTCTCTCTGTATTCGGGCACTTACGCACACATGCCTGGGTGTTTTATTCAGGCCACATGGTCAGGACTTGAACCCACAAGCTGGCTATGTGGGATCTAGCTGCCTTGACGACCATACCCCCTGGCTGGTCTGAGACTAGCTTCTGAAGATCTCTAAATTATGAGCAATACCAAATAGGTGCCAAAGAAGTGCTAGTGCCTTTATCTTGATAAACCTCCTCCCTTTGTGGGTCCGAGGTTGTGAACTGGCTTAGCCGACCCCACTTCACTGTATAAACAGTCATCAGTACAATCTGTTCCTCGAACATCATAAACCAGCGTCTGTAAAACACAAACCCAGCACACACCCCAACAGTATCTAACCAATTCTCCAGAGGAAAAATCAGGCTTTGGGCCCAACCAAAAAGCCCGTCCTGTGTGAGCCTCCCCCTGCCACCTCAGATGCCCAAAATGCAGGGCCGTCTTGGCTCCCGCCACACGACACATTTATTTCTCTCCCACATCGGGGATCCTCCCAGCTCCTGTGGTTATCTAGGAACGGGGCTGGAGCAGGCAGGCCTGCCCACTTGTGGATTGCATAATTCCATGTTTGCCCAGACCATGTTAAGTTAATAATCCATGGGCTGTTGCCCTTAAATAAAAAAGAAAGAGGGGGGGGGTGGTAAGAGCCATCACTCAACAGTAACTTGTTTCAAGCCTGGCACCCTTATTTGCCAAGGAATAAAAGTCACGAGAACATCAAACAAAATAGGAAGAAGGGAGTAAAGGCCACCACCCTGGTGAGGCCAGGCAGCTCGTCGGAGTTGTGCAGAGTGAGGAAACATCCAGAAATAAAATACAGAGAACGGATCCTTCTAGAGTCTGGGGGCCAAAGGCAGCTCCCACCTTGGCCTTCCCCTCTGTAAGGAAAAATCCCCCAGTTCGGAAAAGTGAAATGAAGAATGCAGACCATCTTTACAGAGTTCCCCAAAAGACCACAAAATGGCTTTAGAGCACCTTCACCCCTCACCGCCACCTCTACCCTCCTCCCTGGAGACAATAACAAAATCCTAAAAGGTATCGGGTTTTCCAGACAAATTTCCATCACGCAGGCGTCAAAACTGCACCTCCCAGGCAACCAGAGAACTAGTTCCTGACAGGATGGCACTGTATGTACCTAGAAGTTTCAAATACACTTAACCTCAACTCAGGGTCACCTTCGAATGCACTTTCAAGTTACCGCAACAGGGTTAATGGCCACAAACTAATGTTGGGAGGTAACTACAACTAACTGCAAAAGTGCAGCACAATGAGAACCTACGCCGGTGTAGAATTTCTTGGTATGTGGACGCACACAATCTTTTGAGAGGGTTTACATCCCTTCCCCAGTGGGCTTCTGAGAGCAGCTCCCCTCTGGTAACACCTCATAACCTGCCCAAGGAAGGCGGTCAGGAGACCTACACCCTCTCCTACTAATTTCCCTCTCCTACCACTCCGGTGAGTAAAAACCAGCAAATAATAATACATCAGTTAAACTCCCATCCCTCTGCCTTCTAAAAGGGAGATGCCTCAGGAAAGGCATAGTAGGCAAAAACCTATCAGAAGCCAGGAAGGACAAGTAACTACGAGGTTAAGTCCAAACAGGAATTTCCTGGGGCCAGAACAAGCACTAAGAGTGGCTCTGGCTTTGGGGCTGTCGGTGCCTGTGACTCTGGCCTCGCCATCGTTCCCGGAGCCCGTATCCAATGCCCTTTGGGTTAAATTAGGCACATTTAGCAAACTGTGACACGATGGAAATAAGGCAAGCCAAAGCTGGTTCTGGCGAGTTCCGAAAGTAAAATGACTGGTAGTACCTGGTCAGCTGCAGAACAAGGAAAACTTCACCCTGGAGAACTGAAGCGAACGGGGTGCTTTGTCCTAACAAGGGGACTGCGGACAACTCCGCAAAACAGGCAGCCCGACTACCCCTCCAGGAACACTGGCCAAAGCCCGAAGGAAGGAGGAAGACTTCCATCGGGGCCCCAGGCACACGCACGAAAGATCACCTAGGAGGAGGGAGCCCCCTTCCCCTCCCGACCCACCACCTCGGGTCCTGGAAGCTGGAGCGCAGGTCCACCCGCCCTGGCGGACGAAGGGCACAGCAGAGGGCGCGAGGCTTGGAAGGGGTCCCGGCGGAGAGGGGCAAGAAGAAGGGGACTGACTTTCCCGGGACAGGGACCTTCCCGGACAGGGACCTCCCTAGGACAGGGACCAGGCTGACAGCAGGAACTTGCTCTACTTTCTCCGACACAAGCCTGGGACAAGAGCGACACGGAAGCGAACGGACCGGGAAGGTTGCCGCTAACAGGTGCGCGCCCCACGGCCGCCGGGGGTGACCCGGGAGGAGCCCTCGCGAGCATCGGGCTCCGCGCGCCTATCCCCCGGGAGGGCTGGCGCTTTGGGCCGCTCCAGGGGTCTGTCGGTCAGTCCTCAAATGGGACTTTGGGCGTGCTTCGTTCCCTAGGCCCCCAAAGGGCGACAGCGCTCCTCTCCCCGCAGTGCGAGGTCCGACAGCGCCAGCCCGCGACTCCAGTCCGAGCCCCGGGGCTGCGGCCGTCTGGCCCGGGCGGAGCGCGAGGCCCTTACCGCAGGTAGCTGCCGGAGCTGTGCTGGTTGTAGTGCTCGGGCTGCGTGTGCCAGAACAGCATGGCTAAAGCTGCGGGCGCGCCGGGCCGGGCGGGCAGCAAGCGGAGATGCGGACCGCACCGATCTCCGGCGGCCACCTGAACGCCGCGCTCCGAACCCGCGGTGTCGCCGGCCTGGTACATTTATGGGCGCCGGGGGGGCGGTGCTGCAGCCGGCTCCGCCCCCCAGGCAGCGCAGAGGGGAGGGCGGCTCCCGGGGGCGCACCTGGCTGACCGCTGCGGGCGAGGCTTTCCCGGGAGCCAGCGCACTTCCAAAGCGGCCAGACAGGAGGGGGCGGCGTGGCCGCCAGCTGAGGCCAGGCCCCTCGGAGAACCAGACTCAGGTCGAAGTCCCCTGGCCTCACGCGTCTCCTGGGCTCTCTGCCCTGCACTCTGCCCAGATCTAGATCCCCAGGGTTCTGTGGCTGGCTGTCAGGGACCGGGACCCAGGCATCTGTCACCTTACCTTCCTCTTATTTTTTCATTGTATTTGACACTCTGCCTTCATGACATTTGTCATTTTCACTTGCGTATTGATCCTCTTTCCCACTAGTATATAACTCCAAGAGGGCAAGGTCTGGGCTATCCCACTCCCCTATTATCCCTGCTGCCTAAAATGGTGCTTCCACCTCACAGAAGCCATTCGAAATGGTCATGGAAAATTGCATATTATGAAAAAAACTAATCATGGATTTTTTAAAAAATTGCACCAAAATAAACTTGTACATTAATTCCATTTTTCCATTAACTTGTTAGGTCTCCTGGTGGCTAAGTGCTCAATAAATATTTGTTGAATAAGTATGAATAAAAGGACTTCACCAAGGGAATAATCCCTGAAGGCTTCCTGGAGGAGAAGATATTGAGCTTAGGCCTGACAGCGGCAGAGGAAGCCTCTGTAGGGGCATCTGGAGGGAAGGGGGTCCAGGCAGGGGCTGCAGGAAATGCCAAGGACAGGAAGGCAGACCACTTCTGCATGGAAGTGGACTGCTAAGGAGATGATGCACAAGAGTGGGGTGGCACAGATCACAGAGAGCCTGGCTAGCGGGGCAAGGAGCTAGGATTTTATTCTAAGTATGCTTTTTTATTTTTAGAGAGATTTTTGTTCTAGGGTATGCGCACTCACTGGACAGACAGAGACAGAGATAGAAAGCAAAAAAACACTCCCCCAAGGGGGATGGCCATGCCACAATCCCTTCTCCTCCATTCTCCTCAGGATCTTGGGCATGCATTCATATGCATCTGGTGTGAGTTTTAAGACGCGGGTCCAGGACTGGAACCATGGTCAACTACATGGGAGTTCAGTGATATAACCATTACACCATCTGCTGGTCCCTCTAAGTATGTGGTTTTTTTGGTTTTTTGTTTGTTTGGTTGGTTGGTTGGTTGGTTTTTTGCAAGAGGTTTTGACTATAGGGCACGTGTGTACGCTATGTTTTAAGCAGAGAAGTTACACCTATTTTTTGGGGGAGGGGAGAGGTTTTCGCTATAGGGTGCATGCGCTCGCCAGACAGACAGAGAGAGACAGAGAGACAGAAAGCGAGAAATCACCCCCCAGGGGGGATGGTCACGCCGCAATCCCTTCTCCTCTCGGGATCTTGAGCACGCACGCACACGCGCCTGGCGTGAGTTTTAAGCCACCGGGTCCGGGATGCGAACCATGGTTGACTACGTGGGAGTCCGGTGACATAGCCATTATGCTAACTGCTGGTTCCCTACATCTATTATTTTCCTTTTGAAAGGGTCGTTCTGGCAGCAGTATAGACAGTAGGTTGTGGAGTGGGGTGTGGATGGGGGAGTGGAGTTTTGTGGAGCCATGGCCCTTATCCAAATGGTGGCTCCCAGAATGTGCCACAGCTCCTGGCACAGAGGAGGTTGATGTTCTGTCCCTGAGTATTAATCCAAAGGAAGTTCCTTGGAGCCCTCCCATCTGGAACTCCCAGCTCACCCAAGCTAGATATAGGCCACTCTGCTGTCCCTGCCCCACCCCTGCTGCCACACCTGGGAAGCCACTCCCTCTGAGCAGCCCTCAAGGACTCTTGCCTCCCCACTGCTCTTCTGCCCTCAGATACTGGTCGTGTGGTCAGCAGACAGCCCCCAGCCGTCAGCCCTGCTGCAGTGCCTCAGGTGCAGGCAGCAGCCTCGCCCAGGGCCGTGCCCGTCTGGATGGTCCACATGCCAGTGGCTATAAAAGTCTTGCCATCCCTGCCCAGCTGGTACTGAAGGGACTCTCCATGGAGACAAAACTGCTCAAGGTATCCCTCAATCTCTCCTGCTTCTCTCCTGCCCCTGGTTCAGGTGTTAATCCCAAGGAACTTCCTAATAAACATTCTGAGCACTAAGTCTCATATCAGGGGCTATGACCAGCACATCATTTAAATGAGAGGTAGGTCAGGTGGTTTGGAAAAAAGACACTCTTTGCTGGCTTTGTTCTGGAGTTCTTTTTTAAATTATTACTTAGACAAGGTCTTGGTCTCTCATGACACTCCTGCCTCAGCATCCTGAATGGTGGGTCCACACCCCTTCACCCAGCTCCCATCCAGAAGTTCTAACAAGAGAGACCAGCAGGTCAACAGCAATCATGGTGCAACATGATCAGGAGAGTTGAGGCTGCTCTGACAACAGGAGGAACTGGAGCTCCCCAGGGTCCCCAGGGCAGCGGCGTCTCCTAGGGCATGGTAGACGGAAGGTAAGCCACCTGTGAAGTGGAGACGAGTCTGTCCAGCGGGCATGCAGCATGTGCAAAGGCCTGGAGGAAGGGAATGGGTCAGAGGGAGAGAAAGATGACAAGGCTCGGATCTGGGTTTGCCGCTGAGCTCCTGCAGATCTGTGACCCCGGGTGGGGTATATTGGCCCCGTGCTGCATCTCCCATCGAGAGATGGCTTCTACAAGGAGACTGCAAAAAGTTTTCATGGAGGGCCAGCCAGTGGCCTGGTGGTTGAGGTGACTGAATCCCACGTGGCTGATTGTGTGGTTAGAGATCCAGATTCAGCAGCCCGAAAAACACACTAGGCACTTGGGCATATGTGTCCAAAATCCCAAGTGTTCTCGAGAACGAAGGAGAAGAGATTGTGGTGGAGCCATCTTCTGTGAGGGGTGCTTTCTCTCTCTCTCTTTCTTCCAGTAAGTACACACACCCTAAAGAAAAAAAAAAAAAGAAAAAGAAAAAGAAAAAAGCTTTCATAGAAAATGCATGTTAGGAAGAAACTATGTATGCATTTCTCTCCCCCACTCATTTTGATTGTTTGTCAAAATGACAAACAATCCCTTCTGCTCCACTCTCCTCTTGGGATTTTTGAGCACACATGCACATGGGTCTGTAGTGATTTTTCAAGCCGCAGGGTCCAGGACTCAAACCATGCAGCTGGCCATGTGGGATCCAGCATCCTAACCTCTCCAACACCTGCTGGCCTCTGTATCTTCATTTCTGATCCCAGTTTCTCCACCAAGAAAAAAGAGTAGCTTTTCTAAGATCAGACAAAGCCTGGCATGTAAGACTTACTAGTCCTGCACCAAGCTCAGTTTCTGGGCTTTGACAAAAGCACGTAATGAAGGCACAGAGGGGGAAACAGCGAAAGGCGGGGGATGGAAATTCTCTCTGTTATAAGGACAATTTTCCTGTAAATCTAACATTATTCTAAAACATAACGATAACTTTTTTTTTGAAAGTTAGTTGCTGGAGGGGCCAGCAGGTGGCATGGTGGTTAAAACACTGTACTCCCACATGGTCAACTGTGGTTCAAGTCCCAGACCTGGAAGCTTGCTTTCTCACTTTCCTTTTCTCTCTCTCTCTCTGGTGAATGCCCTATAGCAAATTAAAATAATAATAATAAATAAAAGAAAATAAATAATTCTTTTTAATTAAAAACTTGATAAAACACAACGATTTCTTTTTCCGAAAGTTTCTTGAGGGGCTAGCAGAACGTTTAAAGGACTCCCACATGGTCAACTGCAATTTGAGTCCTGGGCCTTCTATTTTATTACATAAAATCAAACAAATAATTATTTAAAAAGAAAGGTTCTTGAAAGGGAACTCTTTAACTCTATTGACAGGGATGTAAATTAGTATGTTCATTATGGAAAACAGCATAAAAGGGCCAACTGGTGACCTGGTGGTTGAGATGGCTGGATCTCACATGGCCAGCTGCATGGTCCAGGTCCTGGGCCCAGTGGCTTGAAGAATCTGCTGAGCGTGCATGTGTGTACCCGGGGTCCTGAGGGTACGGAGAAATGGAGGAAAAGGAATTGTGGCATGACCATTTCCCATGGTGGTGCTTTCTCACTCCTCTCAGAAAAATTTATTTTAAAAGACAAAACAGTATGGGAAACCAGCAGTTAGCGTAATGGCTATGTCGCTGGACTCCCATGTAGTCGACCGCGGTTCGCGTCCCAGACCCGGTGGCTTAAAACTCACGCCGGGCGCGTGTGCATGCGTGCCCAAGATCCCGAGAGGAGAATGGAG